CAGAAGGGACACCGCCCATTGGGCGGAGACCAGGCCTCCATGAGCGAGTGCGCCTGCGCGGGTTTCCTGGCTTCTCTGGCGCGCGAGGGAGCGTTTGTTGTTTAACGCGGCTGGGCTGAGGCGAAGCTGATCAGAGTTGTCCTAAAGGGGACCCAGGGGTCACGACTGGAATCCTAGCATCTAGGGGATACTCTGGATGGTCTGAGCTCATATGCCATCAAAACCCACTTCCGCAACCCCGTTTGGCCCCAGGACTTACACAGAGCTAAGTGTCAGTCAGCTGGCAAGCAGCAGTGCCCATCAGTCTGGGGCTGACAGGTGGGCTCCTCAAAACAGATCCGAGTAGTTTTCCCCAAAGCGGCCAGCTTCTCAAGGTCCTAAGTTACACTTTCAGCCCATTCTGTGTGGGTGCTGCTTTAAAAATTACAGACGTGCTCATACATCCCCACTTGCCCAGAATCACGGGGCTGATGACCCGTGAAGCAGGGCCCTTTCGCTAGCACTCCCTCCTCTGGACAGCTTGTACTGAACAACCAGGCCTGGATGGGAATCCCACTGCCTGTTGTGCTTCTCAGCAGCGTCCATAACTGCAGCTTTGTAAAAATGGGACTCCAGGAGGAGAGTGTCAACTGAAATCAACCCAATCGTTATATTTTAAAAAGATAAGTCTAGTCATAGTCTTACTGAGGGCCTCGGCCCAAGAACCGCCCATCAGTTGCTCTGATAAACTGCTCCAAAGCCCATTTGCTTGGAGATATCTAAATTTTTTTTTATTTTAAAATTTAATTTTAAAATTATACCCCTACAGCAAGGGATACTGCAGGAAAGAGGTTATGTTTATCAATGCATCAAGCAGCATGGCATGGGTACATCTGGTTAGTGTCCTAAAGGATCCTACTATACACATTCCGGCACTATCTATGTGTGGGAGATAGGATTCCATTTTCCTCTGGGGATGAAGAGGACACATAAGACGTTATCTTATCAAAGCTAACCAGAAAATTCCCAACTGACTGCATTTCTAGAAAGGGTTGAAATTACAATTAGGTAAGGTATTAAGCCCTGGTTTGATGACTCTTAGGCTGGAGGAAGGAAAAACAAGGACATGCAAACAGAACAGAGAGATACCATAAAAGGAGAAGAGACCAAACCCCAAGGTCCGTGCCTTATATGGAAAGGGGACAGTTCTGATGTGCCAACTAAGACCCGGATGTCAGCCTCCTCCTTCTTGGAAGGAAAAAAAGTTTCTAGTTGTCTATTATGTCACCTTTAGCCAATCATACCTCTCCACGCCCCCTAGGAAAGCTTGCCCACTCCTCCCCCTCCTAACCCCTTATAACCCCCACCTCCCTGACCAGGTGTGGCTTCCCCGGCCTGTGATAGCCAGACCCGGGAACATCACCCAGGAATTGAGTTCAAATAAACTACCTGGCCCTTTGTTGCCTCTCTTCGCCTGCTTATTTCAGCTAGAATTTATCTTACAGTGACTTGGCTTAGTAGAAGTGACTCCATGTTGGGCTGTGTCTTTCCTTTTTTAACAATTTCTTCCTTTTGATCAGACTCTCAGCTTGACTTGGAAATGACAAAAATTTAAGGAATCAACACCACCCTCAGTTAACACTCTGTAGTTTCTGCAGCTTTTGTTCCTTTTGTACGTTATCCATGGGACATGACATTTTTGTCTTACCTCTGTAATATTCACAAGTTTAACTTCAGTTTCATGATCCTTAAGTCAGTCATTCTCTTCAGTTGTCCTCCAAAGTTCCAGTCTCAGGGAGAGATCATCTGCTTGATAGTTAGCAACTACTTACATGCATTTAAAGCTTTTTGAGAGGAAATACAGTGTGCCAGGGAGATTATTATGATAACTATATGCAGGATCATTCCCAATGTTTGGAGTGCACTTCAAAGCCATGGTCTCCAAGACCCAAACCAATCAAAAGAAGATAAGTAGTCACCCCTCAAGCCGAGTGGCTTTCTCAGCGGTCCTACATAACTGAGTTTCAACCTTATCCAGGTACAGCAGGTGTCCTTAGTTGCAGCGGATACCTCCTTGTTCAGCTGAAAGATAATCTAGGACTATCCTGTTAGCAAGAACAATTTTGGTCAGACAGTCTAAGGATCTTTGTTGGATTATTGCTCCAGTAGCAGGTTCTGCAATAACCTCACAAGTTAAGGAGAAGTTCCTGCTTATAGCCTCATTTATATTTATCCCCAACCAGTGAAGCAAGGACCTGCCAAATGGAATCGTAAAGCCTCTGGAAATTTCCTTCTAACTCAACAGTGTCAATTCAGGGAGCTCAACCAATGGGATGTCTTATTTTCCTTGTGAAAAGTTAGGGGCATGGTTATTTCCTACCCTGAAATAAAAGGTTGTTCTAAATTCCAGAGGTTACCCCCCTTAGTAATGATGTGAGAAATACAGGTGAAAGTATTATCTTTCCAGGGCAATGTCAGAATAAAGGAAAGGAAAAGAAGAAGAAAAGATTTCAGACTAGTTAAAACATGAAGTGTAAATCTATCATCTTGGGCAGAAACAGTCTATACCAGTGTAATTTCTTCTCTTCCTTCATCATCTGATTTGGAGGTCTCCTGTTGATGCCGAGGTTGTTGTTCATGAAGCCGAAGAATGAGCTTCACAAACACTCAAGGTAGAAGATCAAGGTACAGGCTTTTATTTAGAGATAAAGTGAGAGGACAGAGCTCCCTGCTCACACCAGGAGGGGACAAGAGAGTCTGTGGTTGGCTCATTGTCTAGGGGTTTTATGCGCAGTTGAGGATTTTCAGGAATGAGGGTAAAGGGTTAGGGGTGCAGACTTGTTGAGTGGTCCCAGAATGCTGATTCTTGATGAGTAACAGAAGAAATTTTCTGCTGATTCTTTCTCAAGATAGCAGCTTCCCTCTGAGAGCATGTCAATTAAGACCGCCTACCCTGCCCCCAAGGTGGGCTGGGTTGTTGCCTGTTTGCTGAAGTAAGTTAAGAATCTTATTTCTTAACTTCTTGGGCTGTTTATAGTTGGGCTTGCTTATTAAATTAGTCTATTTCCTAGGTTGCAGATTACTTGGTTAGAATCAGAGAAGGAAATACAGCACATAGGTACGGTTAAAATAAGTTGGGCCTTTTAGCAGGCTAAGGTAAATTTTACAGTGTCATGATTTAAATTGATACAGTGAAGTCATGGGTTATGCTGAGACATTTTTCTGTATCTGCAGAACACTCAAACATTCCAGGCCAAGTTGCTGCTGGCCTTTTGAGTTTTAACTGATCTCACTGAAGATGTCTATATCTTTACCCTAGAGAATTAGTGTGACTCTGACTTTGCGTAATGCTTACCACAGTTTCAGTAGGGACTTCTCTGCACATTGCTACAGTGTTCTGACTGTAATTACTTTGCTCTGCTTTTTCTCCAGAGGTCCTCACCTTACTCTGCCTAATCCCACGGTCCCTGTCTCACTGTGTCTGGACAAGACTAGATGTCAAGTGGAGCCATCTTCAGTTGTATAATATGTGTTCAAAACTCAATGTCTTTTCTCATTTTGCAGCAGTGTCAGTGGTCAGGAACACCTGGTAAGGTCCCTTCCAATGGGGCTCAAGAGCTGTCTTCCTCTGATGACATTTCCTGAACACCTGGTGGTCACCAGGCTTCAGCCTATTGATGCCGGGGTTCTTGTTCACCAAGCCGTAGAATGAGCTTCAGAAACACTCAAGGTAGGAGAGCAAGATACAGGCTTTTATTTAGAGATAAAGTGAGAGGACAGAGCTCCCTGCTCACGCCAGGAGGGGACAAGAGAGTCCGGGGTGGTGCGTTGTCTAGGGGGTTTCATAGGCAGTTGAGGATATTTGGGAATGTGAAAAAAAGCTTAGGGGTGTGTACTTGTTAAGCGGTCCCTGAATATTAAAAATTAACTTAACATAAGGAATTTCCTGCCTTGATTTCTCTCTGGGACACCAGCGCCTTGGTCCGGGAGCACATTAAAAGGCTGCCCGCCCAGCCCCTAAGGTGGGCTGAGGTATTGTCTATTCGCTAAAGAATCCTGCCTCTTAAACTTCCTGGGTGTTAAAATGCAGTCTTTTAAGATGGAATTCCTCATGCCTTTTCCCATGTCGTCTGCAGCTGGGTCTGCACGCTAAATTAGTTGCTCGGTTTGCAAAATCACTTCGTCAGATCTGAAGGAGGAAAGACAGCACCTAGGCCGGGGCCTTTTAGCATGCTAAAGTGAATCTTACACATGCTTACAAATGATTAGCATAATAAAACATGTGCTACTCTTCTTTATCTGGGGAACATTAACTGATCTCACTGAAGAATGATTCTAGAGCTTAATGTTCAACATAAGAGTTTTAGTAGGGGGGTATTTCCTTGCATGTAGTTACATTGCTCTGACTGCAAATATCCCGCCCTGCCCCCTCCAGAGGCCCTCACCCTACTCTGAGTACATCCACGGTCCCTGTCTCACTATGACCAACAGGATCCTTTGAACTGGCCTCTGGGAGGCTTTTTTAACCTATTGATGATAAGCTTTAGCATAAGACATTAAAAACTTGCAGACTACAATGAGACAACAAGGGATCAGCAAAAGGTTGTATACTAATAGACATTGTTCTGTCAATGACTATCTCATATTGAGTGAGTTTATGTTTTCAATAAGGGGGTACTGAACAGTCAGCAACCCCAAAGGCAATACCTTAAGCCAGGGAAATCCAGTAGTTTCAACCAGTTTTAGAAATTTTAAGTGGGAGGCTGAAAAGTTTGCACGGCTTTCATTATGTGCCCAGTGAAGTGGGTGCCTCAATTACTGGAGATTATAGAAGGTATACCCCGAGTGGGAAACATGTTTCTAACAGTTTCTTTGCTACCGTGAGGTCATCAGCCTCACAACAGAGGAAGGCTCCACGCCAAGCAGAAGACATATACAGTGACAAGAACAGATTGCCAACTCATGCTAAGTGGTAGTTAAATGAAGTGCAGCAGCAGGTGTGCAAAAAGCCCACAGGGAAGAGGTCTGAAGTCTCTGGGGAACCAAAATAGTTTCCTTAAATACACTAAGGTGGACAAAGGAATGTAAAAACCAGGGAGCAGGGAAGAACCCAGTGGCCATCTGGAGTCCCATAACCCTGTTTGTTGACTTAAAACCATTATTACCCCATCTTCATTTCTCTGATTCAGGAACAGACTGTTGTCATGTTACTATCAGGATGCCAAAGTCTGGCAATGAGAGGTCATTTTTTAGAAACAGATTGGACTTCACTCATATGTGCCATGACTCATGAAAACCAGCTCGGGCATTTCCCTGATGCTCAAGTTCAATTCTTTTTGTGTGAGCCTCAGTTTTCATGACAGCTATTTCAGAAGGGAAGAGAATAATTACAAGTGGTAACATTATTATGACTTACCAGATTTGTAGGATTTTATCCAGTTTTAAAACACTTGGTCCAATAGGACATGGGTCACTATGAAACAATACTTAGTTACCTATTTAACGAAAGTAAGAAAGACTTCACAGACAAGTACAGAAGGCTACATAGTTGCTAGCAAACTTAGCTCCTTTAATATTAAGAAGACTCAGTTTTTCTTAAGTAATCAAAGACCTGATAAAGATACAGGAAGCACAGGAAATTGTCCTGATAAAATACAGAACTTTGTCTTGCAGGAAACTACCTTAAGGGTGAAGAGAAGCACAATCTCTTACCAGTAAGAGTAGACCAATGGTCCACCACCATTTTGTCTTTTAACAGAGATAAAAACTAGATTTTAATTTTGTACCAGCTTACATCTTGATATGAAAAATCATTTTTAAATAAATTATTTTCAATCTTAGCAACCTGATCACACATTAAAATTTTTTCCTGGGTCCTTTTCACAAACCTACAACTTTCTTTTTACATTCAGATTTATCCAAAGTTTTCCCTCTTTAAATAACCAGCTGCACTTTAGGACAGAATTACTTTCTTTCCCCTCAATAAAATGCATTTCCATTCCTCATATCTTGTTTTACTGAAAAGACATCTTAACTTTTCTTGCATGCAGAGATGTTTACCTTATCATTTCTATTGGCTTTAATTATACTAATTACAATTCTTAGCTTCTGGAAACCTTAGCTTCTGGTGAAAACTAAGCAGTAAACAATTGTGAACTGTTTGTTACACCAGCATTCTTTAGATCAGCAAATTTATGAATACACTTCATAATTTCTAGAAACGTGTTTCTCATAGTACACTCTCTCAATAAAGCTCAAACAAGTTACCAACAGATCTAAATATATCTTTAGTTTCTCTGTAATAAGGAGATAAAAGGAGGTAAACTTAGATGTGTTAAACAATTAATGTCTTATTTTGTCTTATTTGGAAATGATCTAGATATTCAATGAATTCCCATCATTTCATTTAACTTAGTAAAACTTTAAGGTTTCAGGTTACCAAAAGATGTTGGAAACTACTTTTAAGTAAGGGTTTTTATCATACCAAGTTATTGTCGACAAATCTGTAACAGAGATTGCGTGAGCTTATACTTAGTAGACCTAGGTAATAATCAAAGTATATTAATGCTTTAAATCATAGGGTCCCCAACCTGATGGTTATTAAACCCAAGTTCTCAGGACACAAAACAATCTTAGTGATTTGCCATTTTTGCTAGATATTCATCGCTGCCAGAATCATAGTTTTTAGTGCTGGAAGGCAGTGTGCTTGATTTCTTAACATTTAAAGATCATCTTCCCTTTGGCTGTTCCTGAATACCAATCACGATATGCATCTCATTCAGGTTGTGCAGTCTTGCAGCTTGGCTTTCTCTAAATGCATAAGCAAGAACATCAGCTTGATGAAACAGAAGGAACAAAATAGCAGTAGACTCACAGACACCGAGAAGGGACTAGCGGTTACCAAAGGGGAGGGGTTGGGAGGGGCTGAGGGAGAAGGGGATAAAGGGGCACAGTACTTCGCAATCACAATATAGGTTGGTCACGGGGACAGTAGCACAGCACGGAGAATACAGTTTATGACTCTGCGACATCTTATTATGCTGATGGACAGTGACCGCACTAGAGGGGGTGAGGACTCCATAGTACGGGTGAATGTTGGACCACTGTGTTGTGTATTTGAAACCATCATAAGATTGTATATCAATGACACTTTAATTATAAAAAAAACTATGGTGGTAAACTGAGTTTAGGCTTGATCTTTCTTGTGGAGTGTAGATGAAAAAAAAAGGAAAGGAAAAAAAATGACATCAGCTGAACAGATTGAAAGTGCCCCATTTGGCCATTTTACAGTGAGATCTCCTTTAGAAATTCTCCCAGGTAAGGGAGCCACTTGCAAGTCTAAGCTCTTAGGTTTCATATATAAATCCTGCAGGTCTCCTTGGTGGAGGTTGGCAGTTCAGTGTCCTGAGACTTTTTGTTTCAGAAGACTGGTTTCCCATTTTCGGCTCAGCGAAACAAAACAAGGGTTTAGGTATCTTGGGTCAGAACGTGTAGTGATTTTCTGGGTGTCGCTTTCCCCAAGGCCATGAGACACTCTCTTCAATGTCTTGCTTTCTCCGCAGGCAGTCTAGAACTACCACTGGGCTCTGAACCCCGGATGATGACTAGTCCTTACGTGTGCGTCCCTGGATAAGCCGTAGTTACTTCTCCATGAGTGGAATTCCCTATGGGATCGCTGCATGTCCAGAGGAGCAGACCTCTGACACTTCCACCGGTAATGGCAGCGGGAGCCATTCGGTGACAGTGAGCACTGGCACTCATTCACATTTGGGTTGGTGTCACTGAACCTGCTTAACTGACCAAATGGGATGGGGAAACACCGACTTTTCCCTCTGGTAGTGTTCTCTTTATTTCCTCTCAGTGTCTTTTACCTGAGACTTTGGAATTCTATTCCTCATCCCTTAGAATAGGGGAAACACACTCAAAGAGGGCAAACAACTACTGAATAAACTTGAGGACCTTCAGCCAAAAAGAGGGAGGTCCGAGACCCAGCGAAGTCTCACCCTGCTGCAGCTGGAACCAGATGGAGCCAGATGGACTCCCTGGGCCCTGCTGGCAGCAAAGCATCAGTCCACACACTGTTCAGGCCCGTCTTAGGCAGTCTGTTCTGGGTCCCTTTGTGGTTGCCAAAAATTGTCGACTGAAGTCAACCCAACCATCATATTTAAGAAAGAATCTAGTCATAGTCTTACTAAGGAGCCTGGCCCAAGAACAGCCCATCAGTTGCTCTGATAAACTGCTCCAAGGCCCCTTTGTTTGGAGACATCTTAAAATTTTTTCTACAGCAGGGGGATACTGCAGGAAAGAGGTTACATTTATCAATGCATCAAACAGCGTGGCATGGATGCATCTGGTTAGTGTCCTAAAGGATCCTGCTATACACATTCTGGCACTATCTATGTGTGAGAGAGGAGGCAAGGATAGGGTCTCATTTCCCTTTGAGGATGGAGAGGACATATGTGACATTATCTTACCAACACTAACCAGAAAATTCCTGACTGACTACATTTCTGGGAGGGGTTGAAACTGCAATTAAGTTAGGTATGAAGCCCCAGTGGGTGACTTGGCCCAGTAGAAGTGACTCTTGTTGGCCCTGTCTTTCTTTTTAACAAGAGCCTCTTAGACCAAGGAAAACTGTGCTACCCAAAACCAGGTGTTGAATTAAGACCATTTTCATTGTGATGGTAACCCAACTCAAACCAGCTTCTGCAAAATGGGAAGTCAGGGTCACACAGCCATAAGGTCTGGGGGAGATGGTAGCGCCAGGCATGGCAGCATTCAAGGCCTCGTCCTTATCTGACTCTCTTCTTTCTCTTCCGTGTTATCACCCTTTCCTGCCAGCAGATAGTCTCAAAATTGCAATTTCCAATTCTAGAGAGAATGGATCTGATTGGCTAAGAAAATCACCATTGCCCCTATTGGACAGAGCTTCCTTTAGCCTATGGATTAACCACTCTTGGGTCAGGTGATCATCCTTCTCCAATCAGACATCACCCCTCAGAGTGCACGGATCAGTAAGGAAGGCGCTCGGCTACTGATCCTTCTGAGACACCAGTGACCCATTTGAGGGACACCATGGTTGTTTTTTGCAAACATTTCACTTTGAACATAATGTCAGAGTGGCTCCCATTGACAGCACCTGCCAGAAAGCTGGTTGGAAACTGTTTCTGAGGTGTATGGAGGGCCAGGGCAGATGACCTTAACAGCGTTATAAGCTCTTTTGTCCTATGTAATTTTAAATTGTGCATGTATTACTTGGGGGGTAAAAAATTAGAAAATGCTACTGATGGATTAGCTTGAGTTTATATTCAGCAAACTTTTCACTTACTGTACTATGTTGGAAGATGGAATGTGGTTGTGATGGCTGGAGCTAGAGTAGTCATCTTGAACTGTGAGGTAACCATGGGAAAGGAGGCCATACCTGGAAGCACAATAAAATAGGAGGCTGAGCCCTAACACCATGGAGCACTGTGACACTGCTGGACGCCCACCTCTGGACTTTCACAGAAGACAGAAATGAACAACCTTGTGTAAGCCACTGTTGTTTCGGGTTTTCTGCCACTCATGCACTGTATGTCTTAGACTCTGCTTCTGGAAAGTCCCCTTGAACCCCCAAGACTGGGTAAGTGCCCCCACACTTTTTCCTTTCTTCACATTTTCTACATTTTTCTGTACTCACCCATTCACTCCCCCTAGATGGTAACTTCTTCAAGGATAGGCAGACACTAATTTGTACATCATTTTACACAGATGCTAGAAACTCCTAAAGCAGTAACAATGATAACTTGTGGACATGACAGATGCAATGATTCCACCGAGGGCATCAAGGGAAGATGACAAACTGCTGCATACTCTCTGCATTAATGGGTCATTGCCAAGTCACCTTGGGTGGGGGTGGGGAGCCACGTGCCCTTCTAAAGAGCCAAAAATAGAGAATTAGGGGGAGGAGGGGAGAGGAAGGGACAGGAAACTCAAGTCATCAAGGAGGTGGATGTGATTGGAAAAGGGTGCTCTCCCAATTTGTATCCTTCTATTTTCCACACCTAGGCTCTTTTCAGCTTCCCCTGGCTCTAGCCCCACCCTCTTTCGTCCTGGTCTTCTATTAGTGGCATCTATGTCCCCTTGCCTTGATTATACCCAACTACATTCCTATTTCACAGTGGCCCTGGTACATGCAGAGAGAGAGGGAGAAAGATGGCAGCTCTTTTTACTCTTCTCTCATTCCTTTATCCCACCAGCATCCACTGCACCCCTGTACTGCTTAGACCTGTGGATGCACCTCTCCCTATTGCAAGCTATCACCGTCCTTCATGTGACCTTGATCAGGAAAAAAAACTGTGAAAGTCTAATTGTTTCCTCTCTACTGGTTGGAAATGTGGTATGTTTGGCCATGTGGCATGTTTAATCCCCTAGTCAGTCATCAGGGGAGCTTCAGCAAAATCGTCCTAGCTTTTCTGGAGTTGCAAGTCAGATGGCCTGACTGGTTTCTCATGCCTGCTCCCTCCTCCTGGCTCCCACACTGTGTCCACACCTGCATGATCCAGAAAGGAATTTTGCCTCAGAGGCAGGGGCTTGTAGCAGCCTACAAAATGATCCATTCTCTGGTTTCCCTTAAAAAGAGTGTATTTGATGAGACTATATCAAGCTGAAAAGCTTCTGTACAGCAAAGGACACCATCAATAGAACAAAAAGGTATCCTACAGTATGGGAGAATATATTCGAAAATGACAGATCTGATAAAGGGCTGACATCCAAAATATATAAAGAGCTCACACACCTCAACAAACAAAAAGCAAATAATCCAATTAAAAAATGGGCAGAGGACCTGAATAGACAGTTCTCCAAAGAAGAAATTCAGATGGCCAACAGACACATGAAAAGATGCTCCACATCGCTTGTCATCAGAGAAATGCAAATTAAAACCACAGTGAGCTATCATCTCACACCAGTAAGGATGGCTACCATCCAAAAGACAAACAACAACAAATGTTGGGGAGGTTGTGGAGAAAGGGGAACCCTCCTACACTGCTGGTGGGAATGTAAATTAGTTCAACCATT